TACTTGTATCAAAACGTCAAAGATAGAACTTATTGGCTGTGCACCTTCTATTCCTGACTCATTTCTATTCTGTAATTTTTCCATGTCTGAAAGGTCTAGAAAAATCCCTTAAAATAATCTAATTAAAAATATTATTTATTCCTTCAGTAAAATAAAAACTGGTAAATAAATACTGCTCTTTTCCATGATCTATTCACAAAGCTCATCTATCTTGAATTTGTGCATTTATAGATAAATTAAAATAGGAAACTTGCATATTCTTGGGCATAAAATCTGTCATGGCGTTTTTGGTAGGGATGCAATAATTTTCCATTTATAATTGTACTTTTATAATAAAATTATAGTCAGAGCATATTCTTCAAAAGCATGAGAAGTTGCATTGCTGTGCATTTTCCGTGGCAGAAATAAAGACAGCCGACAAGCTATGGTGAATAGAAATAAGGCCATCCTTAACAATGAAGATATTGAAAATGGTGCATTGGAATTGTGTGCAGTATTGTCCATTTTCATTGCATTTGTGGAGGAGTCAACAAGGTTTAAATGTGTGTTAAAGATAGGTAGAAAAATGGCTTTTAAAAGTATGAGGTTGGGCCCGGCGTGATGGCGCAGGTGGTTAAGGTCCTTGCCTTGCACACCTGGGATCCCATATGGATGCCAGTTCTAATCTCAGCGGCCCTGCTTCCCATCCAGCTCCCTGCTTGTGGTCCGGGAAAGCAGCAGAGGACAGCCCAAGGCTTTGGGACCCTGCACTCACTTGGGAGACCCGGAAGAGGCTCCTGGCTTCCGATCGGCATAGCATTGACCGTTACGCTCACTTGGGGAGTGAAACATTGGACGGAAGATCTTCCTCTCTGTCTCTTCTCTCTGTATATCGACCTTTCCAATAAAAAAATAATAAAAATAAAATCTTAAAAAAAATGTATGAGGTCAAAGTTATTTCAGTGCCTACAAGTAAGTGTGTCTAGCCCTGTGTTACCCTCTGGGGATTCAGAGATATGGTAATTTTTATAATTCAGAACTGAAAGAGGGATTTTGGAAAATATTATTGTAATTCTGTACTCCAGCTGGTCTACTTTGTGGTTTTAATTTTCTTATGAACTCAAGGGATAAGAAAAATGAAGATAAAGAGCACAGTAGTTTAATTGGAGATTGTTTTGGGACGTGTTCACTTTTTTAATATTGGAAAAGCTTCATAAACTATGAATGTGTATAATGGCTACCATAGCGAATAAATATGGAGAACATATAGAAATATAGAAGATACTTGAGTCAGATGCCTATGTGCCCATAACTTCAATTTATTTTTTCAGGTATTAAGTAGATAATTGTGGCCAAAATTTTTTCTAGTCCAGTAAGTGAATGCATACCCTTTCTGATGTCAAACTTTTCTATCTGGATTTCGTGAAAATTTTGGTGCCCGTAGGAACAAAAGGACTCTGTCACAGATTTCACTTATTTGGAATATGTTTCTTTTGCTTTAATTTTTAATATTGAGAATGAGTATCTTTTAAGATGTTTATCATTGGTTTTTTTTTTCTGAATTTGTTTTGTAGACTTTCAGTCCTGTCTTTCTATGTTGTTGCTTTGCTTTTTATGATTCATTAAGATTTTCTTCTAATTCTGTGGACAAATGTGCTTTCTGTTACATGTGGTAAGACTTGACACTCGCAAGCCAGAAATTGCACTTACTATAAACATCTGAAATCCTCTGTGTCCTGGGCTTCGCGACAATCATTCTACTGAGAATTGAATTTGTTTTATAGCCTGTGAGAAAGCATTATGATTTACTCTATCTTCTTCATTTAGATTACAGAAAATATATCCTAAAACCTGGTGAAAGTGTCCAACACTGTCAGTTACAGGAATTAGATTTGAATAAATAAGTGGCGATTCTCAGTCTTGGCTATATGGAAATGACTTGGAGAAATTTGCTTAAACCAAAATGAACTCTTTTTAAGCTCGTAATGATTAGTGATCGATATCTAGGTTTGAAAACATTGTTTTAATTCACTGTTCATTGAGAAAAAACGATCCTTTTTCTCCAGGAGTATTTTTCTAGATGGAGAGGAGCGAGTGGTGCTCAGAGAACAGATTCCTTGCTTTTCATATGACAGTTGTACATCCATTGTGTCGAAGAGCACCTTCTACACACAATAACCTTTATTATGAGTAGAAAGAACTTACAATGTTTTAGGTACTCCATCATAACCCTTTGTTTTTAAGCTTCTCATGAAAGGTTTTGCTCAAGTTGTGTGCACATTAGAGATTTGCCTATTAAGATTTAAAACTTGAGCTGATATTTTAAACATAATTACTCACAAAACCTTAAAAACTAAAACATTTTGACATGAACTTTTCCCAACTGATTCAGCTTTTTCTTGTGGTATAACTTATTTACATTTTACAACCTCCAAGTTGGAATGAGTCTATGAGGCCATCTCACATCAGAGCTTTATTGCTCCTTTAAGAAAATATTTGAGATCCAAAGACAGACACACAGATAAGATAAGGCGGGAATCTCCATCTGTAAGGTCATAACCCATTTGTCCACCACAGTGGAGTCAGGCAGAAGCCAGAGACCACATCCTGAGTGGGTGGCAAGGACCCATGTATTTGAACCACTACTTGCTGCCCCTTAGCAGGATGCTGGAATATGAAACAGAGCTGGGACTCAAATCCAGGCTTTTCAGGAATGAGCTGTATCTGTTTGAAGTGGCATTTTAACCACTCGACCAAATGCCCATACTCCACACTTTGCAGTATATCTTGCTCTTAATGATATTTAGTTTCTGCAAGTATTGTAAAGCATGCCAGGATGGTCATTGTGACAGAGTGAAGTAAGCCGTCTTTCGGGATATCCTCCTACTTCACCAGAGTACCTGGGCTGTAGTCTTGCCTTTACTTTGGATCCAGTTTCTTGCTCCTGCACCCCGGAGGAAGCAGGTGGCAGCTTGGCCAATTGGGTTTCTCTCAGTTCAGTGTAAAGTGCAGATGCAGTACCTTCATGCTGAGTTAGGCTTATGCTGTTGAATGGCATTTGGCAAGTGAATTATAAGATGAAAGATCTCATAGTCTCTTCCTTTCTCTCTATTTCAAATGAGTAAATAAAATTTAAAGTCATACATAAATTAATGCTAGTGTTTCATATGGTTTTACTCTTTATGGCATTTTGTTGATACTTGTACCTCTAGAACGCTTAATATAAGATAGATTTTTTTAATTTTTATTTTTTATTGGAAAGGTGGATATACAGACAGGAGGAGAGACAGAGAGGAAGATCTTCCTTCTGATGGTTCACTCCCCAAGTGAGTGCAAAGGCTGGAGCTGTGCTGACTGGAAGCCAGGAGCCAGAAGCTCTTCCTGGTCTCCCATGTGGATGCAGGGTCCTAAGGCTTTGAGCAGTCCTCAACTGATTTCCCAGGTCACATACAGGGAGCCAGATGGGAAGCAGGGCCACCGGGATTAGAACTGGCGACCATATGGGATCCGGGCGCATGCAAGGTGAAGACTTTATTCACTACACTATTGCGCCAGGCCCTTAATATAAAATAGAGTTTATCATTCACAACTTTACTTAATAGTTTACAGTATGTAAATATCTTTCATTAGAATACCATCATGTCTTTAATGTTTCATTTTGATAAGTTTCATCCAAGTTAAATAAGGCTTTTATTAAGTCAATGTTTTAAGTCATTTTGTCTGGAACCATTTCTCTATTTAAAATAAGCTGCAACTGTGTATTTTTTTTAAAAAATTACTAATCTTCAAAGTCATGGTTAGAAAGAGAGAGACAGAAACAGATAATCTTCCATCCACTGGTTCACTCCTTAAATGGTTTGAAAGCTGCTGCTGGTCTATGCTGAGGCTGGGAGCCTGCAGCCTTCTCCCATGGGAATGGTTAGGGCCAGGCACTTGGGGGGACAGTGGAGACACAAGGAGGATCAATAAACATCTGTTCTGTGCTTCCCAGCAGTAGAGTGGGCTGCATGAGAAGTCCCAAGTGTGGCTGCTGGGTATTTCTACAGCCTATTCTTTGTGAGCTGGATTTACACTGAACATGATGAGATATCAAGCATTCCAAATGTCATGGAGTGAGACAGCTACGTAATGCCATGGTGTTGGCCATAGGAGAGGATGTTATCAGTCAATCATGGAGATTGGTGTGTAGAACATATCTTTTCTCCCATGGCTTGGTTTGTTACGTATTGCTAAGTTCTTAGGTTGAAGGAATTTATCAGAAAACTAACAAGGATGCCCTTTGACTTTCCTTTCACAAATTTTGGCTTTGAAATAAGTGTACTCTTAAATTCATTTATTTTTAAAAGATTTAATCAGTGTTAAAATATTGGGATTCCCAAGAAGCGTTTGTAATTGTTAGTTGACACTGACGTCGATGACAGTGTGACACAGAAGGCAGCAGCCTGGTTTATAAGCTCTGTGAAAGAGATTGTAGGCAATGGAATGGAGACTGTTATAGACACAGCTGACTGCTTTTGCTTGCAAATGAACAGTGGCCTGTCATAGCCTATATAGAATATCCCGTGTGTCATTCCCATATTCTCATGGCTGTTGATTTTCCTCTGCAAAGCTAAATTGAAAAATGAAAGAAAACAGATATTAGGTGCCTATTGATCCTATACTTTAGGCAATTACTTTCAGTAGGAGGTCTCATTTTGATCTGACACTAATTCCAAAAAGGAAGTGTATTGAAATAATTTTGCATAAGTCAAGAAATGGTTGTTTTGCTTGTTGGTATTTCATAGCAAAGAACAGAAAAGGTATTAATTGTTACTTCCCAGGTTAGATTTCACATTTTGATCTCTTTGAGTTGAAATCTTACCAGGAATGTTTGGAAGGAGATGGAAACAAAGTCATGTTATTTGAAAGAGAATATAATGTTTATTATTGAAAAATAATATGTATTGCATCTCCATAGGCTAACTGAATTGTTCTCATGCAGTTTTGCTAATGATCTGTCACCCCCCTCTTTTTGATTTCAGGGGAAGAACTTGTCTCTTTTCCTCAGCATAAGTTTGTTAACGTTCTGGGGAACCTCCTTGTTGGGTGCTCGGTTATACTGGATGGGAAATAAACCACCAAGCTTTTCCAACTCAGACAACCCTGCTGCCGATTCAGACAGCCTTCTGGCTCGCACACTCACTTTCTTCTACTTGCCAACTAAGAATCTGTGGTTGCTGCTGTGTCCAGATACTCTGAGTTTTGATTGGTCCATGGATGCTGTGCCTCTGCTAAAAACGATTTGTGATTGGAGAAATCTACACACTGTGGCCTTCTATATTGGACTCCTCATCCTGGCCTACTATGGACTGAAGAGCCCAAACGTGGAAAGAGAATGCAATGGGAAAGCCGTGACAAATGGCAGGCAGAATGCAAATGGGCATAGCTGCCATTCAGACATGGAGTACCGGAACTCGGAGATTAAGCCCAGCTTTGCATCCAAAGTAGAAAATGGCATTAAAGATAATGTATCACAGAGAACACAACTTCCTTCTACGGAGAACATTGTGGTTCTATCTTTATCTTTGCTAATAATACCTTTTGTTCCTGCCACAAACCTGTTTTTCTATGTTGGCTTTGTGATTGCAGAGCGCGTATTATATATCCCTAGTATGGGCTTCTGCCTCCTGATTACAGTGGGTGCCAGAGCCCTGTATGTCAAAGTGCAAAAGCGGTTTCTCAAGAGCTTGATTTTTTATGCGACTGCCACGTTAATTGTTTTCTATGGACTGAAGACTGCAGTCAGGAATGGAGACTGGCAAAATGAGGAAATGCTGTACAGGTCAGGGATAAAAGTTAACCCAGCGAAAGGTAATATTAAATTTTATGCTTTTCCTTGGACTGTTTAACATTTCAGCCTGTTACATCGTCACTCCCTTAAAATGCAATGTTAAGGAAAATTTCTCTCTCTCTCTTTATGACACCTACTCTTTTTAACTTCTCTAACTTTTGAAGTGATTTACAGTAAAGCCCATTTAGAGGCATTTCCAGTACTCCCAGTGAGAATCAGGAATTCTTTGCATGTGTTGCTAACATTGTTTATCCAGCAGAACTCTTAGGTTAGAATTTCGACCATGATATGGATTTAGAGAAATACATGATTTCCACATTTTTGTATGGCAAAGAGGACTCCTCTTTGCTCATATAGAAGTCAAGTTATCACAATTCAGTGTATGTCAGCTCTTCTGTTTTCTAAGCATTTCCTAAGGAAACTCCAAAAATTGGCACTGAAAGATTTGAAGGCAAGTCTGCCTCTAAATCCTGGAATTTTGTCTCTAGGTGTCAGTGTGTAGCTGCCCAGTGTGAGTCATCCTGAGGTGTTCAGGAGCTAACTAACTGAACAGATTGGGGTGTTCTCAGTAGTTATCACATTCATATCTCAGGGGTCTTCACTTGTTAAATATACTTTGGAATACACAATGAGAAGACCAAGTTAGGGCAAATTAAGTGGTGATGGAAACTAGAAAACATTTGGAACAACTGAATGAAGACAAGTGTAAGGTCTTAACACACAATGCATCACACTATACAATGCCAAACATTCTTGTTCTTTTCAAGCATGTCTTGGTTGTTTATGCTTTAAATTATGATGGTGTGTTATAGCATTTGAACTATTATTTTCTAATTTTTCTAACACAGTTCATTATTACATTTCAAATACTAAAAGTATGGAACTGTTCTAAATGTATGAAAACTAACGGTGGATCAGGATATAAATGAAAATGTCTAGATAACCTACAAGCAAACAGCATTCTTTTCTGATTAGCACAAATTAAGTCAAGGGTTCAGTGAGAAACTACACATTTGTTTAAGCCAAGGAACTAATTGTTGGTACTTAAAATGCTTAATAGATTACAGGGTTTCTGATGGAAACTAGAAGCATTAAAGTTGAGCTAATGCATAGCGTATAATTCCTCAATTTTCTCTGAATTTACCATGTGGTTTTCCTGGATAATAGATAATGCTTTGTTTTTAATGCCTGACCTAAGTTTCCCTGTCAAAATTGTTGCAGTGAGGTTTTGCAGAATGCTTTTTGTCTAGTTGCCCTTCACTGGTAGGCATTATTAGTATATGGAATAAGGCTGGCTGGATGGGCAATTTTCTCCTTGATGTTTAAATAAGTACATAAAAGCTCCCAGAATGCTGTTTGTATCTCAGGGTTGTCCTGAGGATATATTAAATTTCTTGGATATATTTCAGGCTAGGCTACTGTTACAAAGAGTCAAGATAGTAGAGGTTTAAATAAGATAGAACCTTTATTCTGTCAAGCAACAATCTAAGTATGTACAACACAGAGCTGATAAGATGGCGCCATGGGTTTTCAAGATCTTGCTCCTTCTCTTTTGTTCCCTTGCCATCCTAGGGTGTTACCCTGTTCATGTGGTCCAAGATGGCTCATTACCACATCAGTACTTCAGCTGCCAGGAGTAGTGGAAGAAAGGGCAAATTATGGGTGCTCCCACTGTCTAAGAACGTATCTCTGGAATTGCACACGCCATGTTGGCTCACAGGCCATTGGCCACACCTCTCTGCAAGGGAGGCTGGGAAATGTTATCTTCATTTTGGGAAGCCAAGTTCTCAGCCAAATAATATTAACTTGAAAGGAGAAGTGAATGCTGAAATATGGCAGTCTCCAACTCAGAGGGCATGAAAACATTTTGTACACTCTTATGTGTTTCAGCACTAGCTGCTGTTATTGCTGATATGATTCTGAAAAACATATTTGGATCATCCAAAAAATGTACTTTTCTTCTTTGGACCACCCAGTAAATTCATGGGTTTCCAACATATTTCCTAATCTCCTTCCAGTGAGTACAGGACTTACCGGTATTTTGATAGGTTCTTTGAGATAAATTGAATTCCATGGGTGGGTATTATGGCAGTATCCCATATAAGTGCCACTTTGAGTCCTTACTGTTCCAATTTCAGTTCCTCAGTCCAACTGGGAATGCCATGGAAGACAGCCTAGAAGGGGTGGCAAATTCTGAATGTACTGGTAGTTTTGGAAATAAACCAGATCTAGGATGGATGAAGGGTAGAACAGACCATCTGGTGATTGACCAGAGCCACTGGGAATAGAGATGGCCTCAGCTGAGATGGTAAAGCCTTCAGGGCAACAGGTGGCTGCTGCACAGATGGGATAGTGGGTTTCAGAAGCTTAATTTCTAATTTAAAATTTAGTTATTTGTAAGAGTTAGACATTTTGCATCTCCTGTTACATTCTTCCCATGGTTGTAATGGTAGAGGATGTGCAATATCCAAGCTTTTTGAAACACTTTTTATTTTGTTTGGAATAGAAACATGCAAGTGGACATCTCTCATCTGCTTGTTCCCTTGTCCCTGCAACAGCCAGGGCTGGGCCAGGCTGAAGCTGGAAATGTAGCGCTCAATCTGAGTGTCCCAGTAAACAGGGGAGACCTAATATTGAAGTACCACTCATTGTCTTCCAGGGTGTACATTCGCATAAACCTGGAAACAGTCACTGTGCTAAGGAATGTGGGTTTGCATATGGTGACTAAAACTACTGCACTGAATGCCCACCACAGCTGAAATTTAAATGAAGTTCTCCAGGAACCTTTTGAAATACCATGTTTGCAAGGATCGGTCTTTCCTTATCTGAAGCCTGCTCATCCTTTCTAGCCCCTGATGTTCTTTCTGTTTGCCACTTAGCCTCCTGCTACAGAGCTTTGCTCTTGTCAGTTTTCCTTCCTCAAATACATTTCCCTTGGTATCCTGCTTGTGACTTACCACATTTCCTCTTAGATCTTTGATCAAATTAGACATCAACAGTAAGGTGTGTTTTATGTAAAATTGGCTCTAAAATTCAGCTATCCTCTTCTGAGTAATCTTTTTTTCAAAGCATTTATTTCTGTTTGAAGTGCTACATTTTGGATATTTATATATTAACTGACTATATTGCCTGTATACACTAGATTAGGGTGTAGGAGAGTAGGGACTTTTATGTTTTTCTTTTTTTTTTTTGCAAATTGTGTTATGCAGCGGGCCTGGCACAGTGGTCTAGCAGCTAAAGTCCTTGCCTTGCACTCACTAGGATCTCATATGGGTGCTGATTCTAATCCCCGTGGCTCCACTTCCCATCCAGCTCCCTGCTTATGGCCTAGGAAAGCAGTTGAGGATGGCCCAAAGCCTTGAGACCCTGCACTTGCGTGGGAGACCCAGAAGAAGTTCCTGGCTCTTGGCTTCAGATTGACTCAGCTCAGGTCATTGCAGTCACTTGGGGACCGAGTCATTGGATGGAGTGCTTCCTCTCTTTCCTTCTCTCTGTATATCTGACTTTGCCATAAACATAAATAAATCTCAAAAAAAAAAATGTTATGCAGCAATGAACACAGTGCCAGATACAGAAAGGGCCTCTTAAAGGATGCATGGAATAATGCATGTTCCAGTCTTGGTTCTCGGGAGTCTGCAGTCTGCTTAGAGTGAGAATGTATCTGCATGAAATAAAGTAAAAGTGTGAAATATGCTAAGGCTAGACAAGGCATGGAGGAATGTTTTCTGACACGGGGCATAGAATTGGGAATGCAGTTAGTTTTGGATTCCATGATTGCTCTTGGTGACATATGCTTATATTTTAGTATAAGCAAGACTTTAATTTCAGATTCTCTACTTTTTTTTTTCTGTTTGTTATATGCTAGCAATAATTCTGCCTATAGTTACTTATATAGCATTGATGAGACTGTCGGTAACATTTACATCAGGCTGATTTTTCTTGCTATATAATGGTTATTAAATCTAGTGAAAGATTAGAAATCTTGTCAAGGCAGTCTTTCACAATTATCTGAGAACACAGATTCGTTTTTTTCCTCCCTCTTCAAGGCTTTGCAAATTTTTGTGTGCTTTGGTCTACTATATGTTCTAACAAAACGTAATTTTAAGTCTCATGAAGCATTATGCCTTAAAACTGCTGTTTTCGGTAATGGGCGCCATAGACAGCTGCCAGCCATTAACTGATTGTATGCCAGTGACAATGGGTGAAGCCTGTCGTGGTGGCTATGCAGCTAATTTATGGTTTAAATCTAGGTGGTGGAAAAATGATAGCTGATTTGGACTTTGTAAGCTGCAAGTCTTGCCTCATTATGTGGTTGATAATGTCAGGAAAATACTAGACATTGTTGATTACTATAGTTTGCTGAGTTCACCATGATTTTTTGCATTTTTGTGCGTAGCAAAGAGGAAATTTCCTATGTGAAATGTCTTAATGAGCAAGTCATATTATATCTGACGAGCTTTTGATTTGTTTTAGAGAAAATGCTGTTGTAAGCCATATTGATTGATATTTCCTTTTAAAAAGTGTTTGCTAATTTATCTGAAAGCAGTTACACCTGTGATCACTTTTTGGCCACTGGCCTCGGGGCAGTACACAATCTTGGCTTTTTCTGATTTTTCACATCCCTTTTCTGTGATTTTGCTGCCTCCCTGAATTGGTACATTTTTGCAGATTTTATCTAAAATATCTCTTTATATTTCCTTCTACATTGCATCCATAACTGCCTGATACAGAGTTGGGCAAGGGGCATCGATAAATGTGCCATTGGTTTTCTATCTTATGATCTCCATTGTCTCAATTTCTGTGAAGGATTTTTTTATGGTTTTATAGGTATAGGAATTCCCCTTGACCCCTCCTCTTTCTCATTTCCCTTTCTCCTTCCTGCACCAAATTGCCCCATATTGTTACATCAGTATAGTCCTTAAGCAGCAGTCGCAAGCCCAACATTCTACTATTTCAGTGCATCGTAACATTGTACATATAGAAAAATATAGAATATCTAGGATCAAATTATCAAGATATA